TGAGCTCCACGCTACCTTGGAGATGGTTGATATAATCCTCAGGATGCAAAGGAAGTATTCATTGGGATGTATTTGGAATGGGTAATCGAGGGAGGGTGGTGACTAACGTATAAAAACAAATTACGGATGTGATGGTCAGAGCGGTTCGGATGGTAAGTCTTATCACCGATGCGTGACTGATTTTATTGTATAACTGGCAACGTCCGTGGGCAAGATAAACCGAACCCTGGTTTCTGATTGGCTACCCAAGCGGGTAAGGTCGGCCCATTTTGCCAGCTCGAGATTGTCGTCTTTAATCCTGCGCAAGAAAAAAGTGCGTGGAGCGGCAGAAAGTTCGTCACTTTTGGACTACGTCGGCGACGAAGTTGTAAAAAGTGGCAGAAGACAGTTACAACTAAGAAAAAAAAATTAAACGACCCTCTTGGATTTATGGTGCTACAAACACAGTTGGCTTTCTTTCCCGGCTCTTGAAATATACATTCAGGTCATTCTTTATTCTTATCACAGCAAAATCTTTTTGTCATATATAATAAATCCTTTATTGACCAAGCTTATTCGGTCAAGATGGCTAGAAATTATCCCCGTTCCTTTTTGGCGTTTTTGTAATATAGACTTCCGGTGGCAGATGTTCAATACCTTTTTCCATAAGCTATGATTGGTCAATGGCGGGCCGTATTTCACTGTGCGGACCGCTAAATTCAAAAGTTTGAACTTATTGATATATTTGAACTTATTGATATAATAGATATTTTACTGACTTTGTTTTCTCGGTCCGTACGGAAAGTAACGTAACCTCGCTTTTTCTGCTTGAATTTGTGGCCCATACCTGGGCCACAAATTCGAACGAAAAAAAAAAAACTGGTCGCGTAAGTTTCAGTACGCACCTCTAACTTGGTTAGTCGCAGTAGGAGGTATTGACTTCGCAAAGGTGGAAATTTTTATAATAGTCTTTCTGGTGAGTAGTTCAAAACACAATAAAGGTCTCTTACACGATAGGTTTTTCCTGGATATCTGGCATTTTCAGTAAATCGTTGAAAAATTAATCTCTGGTCATCTCTTCTTACCGATCGAAAAATTGTGGCGGAACTGCTCAGAATGAAATTGGTGATGCTGGTGCTGCTGCTCTGGCTGAGCTTTTGAAAGAGAATACATCTCTGACACATTTGGATTTGTCTTCTAATGAAATTGGTGATGCTGGTGCTGCTGCTCTGGCTGAGAGTTTGAAAGAGAATACATCTCTGACATATTTGAATTTGTCTTCTAATGAAATTGGTGATGCTGGTGCTGCTGCTCTGGCTGAGTGTTTTAAAGAAAATAACTCTCTGAGAATTTTGGATCTGTATGAAAGTAACATTGGTGAAGCTGGTGCTGCTGCTCTGGCTGAATGTGTAAAAGAAAATTCATCTCTGAAAATGTTATCTCTGAACGGAAATAACCTTTGTGAGGCTGCTGCTGCTCTGGCTAAGTATTTGAAAGAAAACACATCTCTAGATGGGTCGTATTGACCTTTAAATTACTTTGGTAATTCTGGTGCTGCTGCTGCTCTGACTGCTGTGCGATAGTGTCATCCATCTCTAACCGAGTTAGATGGGCTTAATTTCCCTGAAATTTTATACTCTGTGCTCTTACCAATTTTAAAAAGTGATAACGTAGCGAATAATCAGGGATTCACGGCTCTTACCCTAAGCAGGGTAGATGTACAGTAGCTTCTAATTATCGATATAAATATTAATGCAAGTCTTATGTAGCATCTATTCACTAAGATTATTTACTTTAGTATAAGAGCTTCATTTGAACGATAAATGTATTTCTTAAGACTTTTAACTGATGTAAATAAAAGTATTTTCAGCAGAATTTCAAGTTTTCTCCAAGTATTCTCTATGTGGGTTTAGTTTTTTTTTTCTGCATTCTTCCGGAAAATCTGTTTGATCTCGATGCTCCTTCGTTTACTGTTTCCTTACTTCATGTAAACTTTCTTGCTTGAGATATTTTGGAAATTGACGCAATTGGTTTAATATGGTATGGATGCTTTAGAAATTGGGTTTTACTTTGGTCAGGATTACTGGATGAAAGAGTTAATTGTCTTGCTAATTGAAAAAAGGCGAAAGGAAAAACAAAAGAGAGAAGAAGGACGCTGGCGACAGCCACAGATTATGCAGGTGTTCGAACTTTCCCTACCCTACCCATCTCCTCAAGTATTGTCAGCTGTTAATTTTATCAGAGAATTTCTGAGAAAGGAGTAGGAGAGGAAAAGCAAGAAAACCTGTGGAGGGGGAATTCAAACACAGGACTGCAAAACAGGTTCACCAGCCTTTAATTAACATGAAACGAATGGGAAAAAATGTGCGACGATGGAAGAGGATAAAGAAGAGAGGAAAAACAGCGTTAAAGTTATGTATGTTCCAATTAGTCAAAAGACATCTATGCATAATGAATAAAAGATCGCGGATTCGATCAAAAAGGGTTGTTGGGGTAATCTCATGCTAGAATTTTTTTTTCCGCATGCTCGAGACCCGCTTGACATATGGCGGACATGGCGTACGCGCTGAACAAAATAACACGCTGAAAAAAAAGGTTGTAAGATAACGTCATTATTAAACTGCCTGGGAGATCGGTGGATTCTGTAGTAGCCGAGGTACCCTCCCACCCCACCCTGCTAAGATAAGGTGCGGCTCTTGACAGGGTTAGGATCTTGTCTCGTACCCAGACCCTAGAGTTAAACGAGAGGATCTGGGTAAGAGATTAGTCAGGACCTTCTGGGTGAATGAAGTGGCACTTTTATTTCACCCTCGGACAGTGAAGCGAATCGTGACGGCGCTGATGCCGTGTCTCCTTTTCCGTTGTTTTTCTCTTTTTCTGCCTTGTTTAAGAACTCTAGTCCAAGAGAAAAGGTCGGAAAATTGTCTTCGTTTTGGGACTGGTGGGCCGAGTCTCTGTATCCATTGTTGTCGCGAAATGTATAATTTTTTCCGCGCTAACCATGGCCGCTCGCGCGAAAAAGAAAAATTTCTCAATGGCGAAGCGACTTGCTCACACTATCAGCGTGCACTATCGGGATTTTGAGCACGCTTACGTATACTGAATTTGATTGCGCGGCTCTGTGGCAAAAATGAAAAGTGCTCTTTGATTCGAAAGAAGCTGACTTTGCTTGATCGTTTTTCTAGAGGTGTAAATATCATCCGGGAAATCTAAGAGAAGGCTGATCGTATTAAGCATGAAAAACAGGATTTCTTCTGACGTTATCAGTTATTGTCAATTTAGTCTCAGTGGGGAGTAGTAGGTTGACGGTTAAATCTTATGGCCTTTGACGGAAGATGTTTCTTACTATGAGGGAGATGTTTCTTATTAGATATTTCTTATAAAAGGAGATAAGATGTTCGCTGAATGAGTGGACAAATTATAGGCAAAGATGTTCACACTTGACTCAGGCCATCTCAGAGGTACATCGGCTTTATGAATCTTCGGTAAACCATACATTATAGGCAGCTGTTCGAGTCGTGGTCTCATCTTTTTGTAGACGGCCTCTACTAGATATCCGCTTCGTTTCAAGCGCAGTTTCTAGGACAACCTCCTTAACAGTCTGTCGAATCTTTGTTCAAGCGCTGATACTGTCCACTTTCGATCACAGAGGACGTCTTTGCTTGATAGGTGTCGGCGTCTTGGAGACTTCGGTCGTGTCATGATAAAATTTACTTGATCTCCCTCTGGTCTGTAATATTCCTATGATCCCCCCTTCCTTTTTTATGAGGGTCTCAATGGGGTTAGCCGTCAACCATCAAATGGCCAAAATATTACCGTAATACTGTGTACGGCCATGCCAGCCAAGCTTTTGTGGATGATGCAACATTCGACAGCTACTGGCAGGAAATCAGCAATGCCATATTTGGACTAGTAGGAGCAGGTTATGGAGCTGCTATCAATAAGCTTAAGAATGAGTGCGTTGACCCTGATACAGAACACTACAGACAGCGGCTAAAGCGGTGGAAGCAAGATGAAGACAATATCAAAGAAACGATCGGAGAGATTGAAGGTACGTGTTATGTCCATCAATGATTCAACAAACACAATTGAAAGGCGAAGCATGACAACTAATTATGCTGGACATTAGGGCAAAACACTGCTTTGGCTCACAGTCATGTTTTGTTTTGTATGAATTCCCACGAAATTAAATGGCATATCCTTGCCATTAAGACACCTAAGACATTCTAGATATGCCTAGAGTCACTTCCTATGGTGGAATCTGAAATAAGATCTGGCACCTATGAGAATAGAGCTAGTATTGTATGTCCTTTGGACATTTTCCTTGTGTTGAGATTTTTTCCTAAGGATAAATGCAATTGTTTTTGATAATGACACTGACCTGTCTACTGACAAAATGTCAACTTTGACCCATGTAGATCAGATGAAAAGTAAATTAGGGGACATTGGTGACAAACTGGAGATATTAATGGCAC